TATACACTATTACACTATATACATAAATGTGCCAAAAATATATACAAATCAGCTATATAAAAAATGTAACAAGAGCAGAGTAATATAAAAATATAAAATGTTAAGAATAATATACAAATAAAAAATAGAATACATATTCTAAATAGCACAACTCCTTCATCACACAAATGTGAAAACACACTAAAGAGAATCTAATTATTACACTATTGCACTAAGAACAGAAAACACAAACTAAAACTAAAACCTGACCTTTCTGGCCTTCCTTGATGCAAAATCATCAATGATGTCATCGTATGAAATCTGCTCCCCTATTGAGTGATTGATACTGATGACGGCAAGGCCATAATGTGTTCTTGGAGCAACATTTAATGAAAAAAGAAGTGTAATAATTGGAGTAATAATTGGCAACATTTTAATAATAATATCTAATATTTCATAGGAATATTGATGTATAATTTATTTCCATATTCACTTGTTGTGTCTCCCAAAATGCCTGATAAACATCATTTAAGTCCTGATGTCCTCTACAGTGGACATGTATGAAATCAATGTCCTGTTCTGTAACAGAAAGTCATTTTTTGATTTGAAACCCCATAACGTTTTGACATAACATCTGAGATGTTGGTTTATGAAATACAATTTGAAAAGTAGTCAGATTTAAATTATAATTACACAGATTTGAAAATTCCGTTGGCTAATTACAGGGCCTAACGTTAACCCAACTGATGGAAATAAATAATAACTGAACTTGTAACAGTTTTGTTGCAAAGCACAATATTATGGTGAAATTAGATCTCGTGTTTGATGAGTTAAAACCAAATTATTGTTGTATAATCATAGCAAGCATCATAGCAAAAAGGCTAACAAACTTAAGAGTTATACCCACCAATTAACATTAGCCCTTCATTCATGACATGGATACCGTAATAATCATACAGAGAGAACATAGTTGCCTACCTTTATCTTTTGCTCGTTTCTCTTTCTTCTTTTCTTTTTTTTCTAAATTGGGCACCTGATGGCTTTGACCTTTTCCTGTCCATCTCTGTGTTTATTTGGCACTCGACAATCAACAGATTTCCCGTCCCCCCAACACTGTCACTCACGACCAGAAGTCAAGACTAAACCAATTCACCTTGGTGACCACATAATCATTTTGTATTACCTATTTTTATTAGCCATTTCACACAATTCAGAAAAACAAAAATGTGCAGGAACTATAGGCCTGTATTTATAATATTATGGAAGAAAGTCGAGGTGTGACTGACTTTAGCCCACTAATTCCATTAGAGTATTGCTCTATACAATATTCTAGTTAGCTCTAAATAGTCCATTTTAAATTAGATTGAGCTATTATCAGTGTTTACATTGGCACTGAAAGAAAGTACAATTATAATATCTAAGGACATTTTTCATCTTGATGCATTCTGGGATTGCCTTTCCTTCCCACTCAACAACGACATCTCTTTTCTGGTGACGTGGGCAATACGGCTTCCCCTCCAGAAACTACTCACATGAGATCGTACCAATTAGCAAATCACAATTCAATAATCCAATCAATTCCCAGTTGACAAAATAATTTTTTTTGTTCAAAACTCAGGCCCTGTCCACACATACACGGGTATTTTTATAAACAGAGTTTTTCCTTCTTCCGATTTAAAAAAAAATCTCTGTCCACATGAAAACGCAAACGCATGCTATGAAGCACTGTCAAGAGCATGTGAAACCAACAGGTGGCGATATAATCTCAACTGTAAAGCCATGTTGGCCAATCAGAAGCCTGAAAACGTCTCCAGTAGGCGGAGATAACAGCGCAGGCGCCGACGTCACAAGCCAAAAACTCAGGTTTCGCGGTCTACATGATAACACTGCAACCAGAGTTTTTGAAAATATTCACCCTGGCAGGCGTTTTCAAAAATGTTCGGTTTCAGTGAACTGGTGTTGCGTTTGCATGTGGACGAATGGCCTAAGCGCGTGGAAAGAAGCTGCGGTTTTAAAAATAACCGCGTGCGTGTGGACAGGGCCTCAGTTTTACTCTGATGTCGCAATAAGGAAGAAAACGGAAGTTGCACTTGCAACTTGCGTTTCAGTTTTAGCAAAATCTAGTAATTTCAAATGGAATTCATGTGATTGATAATTTCACGCGAGGTCAAAAGATTTCCTCATGCAGATTTCACAATGGGTTCAAGCAGGTTATGTGGAAACGCTGCACTCAGAAAGCAGCCTGGTTTGAAAGTGATTTCTGTGTGAGCTGTGCTTCCTACATCGCTATACTATTGACAGTAGGTGATGAACCATTTTGGCTGCAAAATTCCGCCAAAATCTCATGAATGTAATGAGATTTTTTTAAGAGGTATCATGAGTTTGCTGTTTATTTTTTGGAGCATGCTTTGAGTTGTGAGTGCACTTATCTACCTTATGTGGTCTTGGTAGGTAAAGGAAGAATGAGAGATGGAACAACATTTGTTTCTCATTTCTCACGTCAAAAGAAATCCACACAACTGGGAATTTCACATGAGGGCAAAGGTTCACCCACACAGATTTTGCATCAAGTTCAAGTTGGTCACATGAATTGATGGACCTTTTTGCTCACAAAAAATGGCTAATGTGACCACATCTATAGAATTTAGACAAAACAAAGTATCTTCAAAAGATAATGTTGCTGTCTATCTGGTCTTGGTAGGAAGCAGGGGCGTCAGTGTCCAACAATATCCTTTGGGGGGCCCGACTGAGACTCCATAGAAAATCTGTACAATGGGTCCAGAATAGCTAGCGACGCGCCACAGGCAGGAAGATATAGAATGAAAGGTGGAGCTACAGCACAACTCGACTAATTTAAAAACGGATGGCCTGCTTTTGTGTTTGTCTGAAACCAAATGTTGCTACAGACTGCATGCATCCCTGATGTATTATTCTTGCCATTTAGTTAGGTAGTTTAAAGGTTTAAATGAGCAGCTGGTAACTGTGTGATAATCACACACATCATTAAAGCACCATTTAAGTGAGCTATTAAGCATTTTGGATTATTCTCACGTCTTTGTAGTTAGGTTTTAAGGACATTTGTCTAAATGAGGCTGCATATTGCTGGAAGTGTTTGCTGTGTTAACATTTAATTTAATCGGAAGGACAATAATGATGCAATGAGAAGAAAATAAGGCCCTAGGGCTGCCCGCACCGATGACTTCATGCAAACTACTGAACCTTTGGTGTCAAACTACAGCGTAAGGGTTCATATTCCTAGAACTGTACATCATATTACTGGAACTGTACGTGATATCCGCCGAATGTCACTGCAAGTCGTGACGAGTGACCACACGTCAAACATGTTAACCATACCGTCTCTTCTGGATGTCACTGAAACGTCTGCTCTGACACACACACACACACATCCGAAGAAACCAGACACAATGTACGACCAAGTCTAGTGTGCAACGTGGTTATGGTTTGTGGCTGGTTTTACCATGATCCTTGGCATGATCTACACTGAAAAATTGTTGCAGAAACAATTTGCACTCAGAAATTGCTAGTAAATTTCTCAAACAATTACAAAGAAATGGCAAGTAGCACACTGAACTAAAGGTGAAATTTTGAAGTAGAAAGACTGAAATAGTGTTTTCTTGTAAAACATGCTACAACAATCTTCAAAGTGTACTTGTCTACTTTAGTACGCTGATTAAAATGACACAGCTCTTGGGCCACTTCATTCTGTTTAATCCCTCTTGTATAATGACCAACTCTATAATTGACTGTTTGATTTCCTATACTGGTCTGTTTTTTCTTACAAAACAGCATTTTTTATTTGGTAAAGTAGCCGTGTCAAAGCAAGATAACGCACAGTTAACTGGTCATTACCACAAAATAAACCCCAACAGGGTGATTAAACATTATTTATCTGAGAGATTAATTCTTGCTCAGTCTTGCTGTTTTACCAATCAGAGGGGGAAAGCAGGCTTTGTTTGTTTACTTGCTTTCTCATTATCAGCTCAGCTAATCATGAGGATTTTATAGGGTGTTAATTTGATAACGGAAACAACAACAACAATACTTTCTTCAAACCTCTCAATATTAGCAGGGTACCACAACAGTGTTTTTTTTTTGTTAGGGATAGTCCCTTAAGAAATCAATGTGGTACCATGGTGGAGTACCTAATAATCAGATGATCATGGTATGGTATGTTGATAATATACAGTGGCCTAAAAATCTATTTAAATACTTAAGTTACAATTGTGAAATTTTGTTTGCTTTGAATTCTAACAAAATATTAAGCGGCTTTTGCATACAAATACTCCTTATTTTATTTAATTTATTACACTCTAAAAAATGCTGGGTTAAATACAGCCCAGCGCTGGGTAAAATAGGGACAAACCCAGCAATTGGGCTGTTTTGACCCAGCGGTTAACCTAACCTTCTGGGTAGTAACCCAACCACTGGGTCAAAAGAACCCAATTGCTGGGTTTGTCCCTATTTTACCCAGCACTGGGTTGTGTTTAACCCAGCATTTTTTAGAGTGTATCATTATTGATAATATGGTACTGCATGATTACCAAATTCATGTATCATGGCCATCCAAAGTACTTACAAGAATACCATGGTAGTACATTTCCTGAATAAAGCACGTTTACTAGAAAAAAAAACATGGTATTGCCATAGTATATGTCAAAAACAACGCAAATCCTAGTGCTTTGTCATAGGTTTAATGCCATTGGAATTTCAATGGTACAGTGCCTACCCAAGAAAGCAATGATGGTGGGGAAAACAATGTTGTATTGCTATGGTATCAGAACTAAAAAAAAAAAAAAAAAAAGTACTTACCAGCCGTCTTCTCTCCTCTTCCATGGTGTTCAGCAACTGGGAAAACTCTTTGAAGGACTGAGCTGGAGAAGAAAAATAGAGTTATTAATCCATTTGCATTTGCTGGCTAAAGTTCAGACTTATAATAATAACTTGATTCATGAGGGTCAATAGAAATGCTGTTAAGTAAATGCTGTTAGCATTGATTTGTTGCCACAGCTACTTATATAAATGATTCAGCATTTAATAAGAATGCAGAATGAACAATGGACTTTATTCTTTGAATTTAAATTAATATGGAACAGTTAAGAAAGACCTTCCTCCACTTTTGTTTCGGATGTGATTAATCGCGATTAATCATTTGATAGCACTAAAAATAATTAGATTTTACTCTAAAATTACAATACTAATATGTATGTCTTAATTTCTTAAATTTCAAATGGTAGGCTAAATCATCAAACTTTTATTTTGATGGGCTGCTGGCAAAAAAGCACTGCTGGTTTTAGAATGAAGCTTGGCTCTGTGTTCATGTCCACGCATTCAGCATATTATCAGTGTCTCAGAACGGCTCGATTCACAGTAAACGAACCAAGCCATTCTCAGATGCTGAAGCACTGTATTATGAACTACATGTGTAAATGCCGTGCTTGAAACTGATAAAACATATTTAAATAAATTGGAGTCGGTGTGATTCGACAATCACACTAACCCGCATAGCGAAATTATTTTATTTCAATATAGGCTATATCATGCAGTCCTAAGTCCGTTGCGCACTAAGTCCAAGAGCCTCCAAAAAGGGAACAGGTAAAACAATTAAATATTTACGATTTTATGATTGAATGTCAGAATATAAGGTTATCAATAATTGGCTGTCAGTGGAGAAAGATGTGTGTGTTTTGGTGTAGTTACGGCAGAATTCTACCAGCAGAGGCTAACAAACGAAACCCTGACCCAAGGGTCAACCGCTGCATTGAAGGTAATTCAATCCCAAATAGGGCGACCTGTGACCTGGAAATTACTTTAATTCCCACAGTCCCTGCTAAGTCCTTGAGCTAAGTGCTTAACTCAAAGGTTACACCGGAGAGACTGAGCCTACAATTAGTGTAATACGAGCTACTTGGAATAAAAAAACAAAGAAAAAAGAAAGACACAGAACTAATCAGTAGTGCGTGTGAACAGGTAACCTTGATTCTAGCTTGCACATACATACAATTCACCATACATTCAAGAATAGTGAAAAAGTTCAACCAATAGATGTTTGGAAATAGACTATAATGAAGTTCTCCATCTATCATTCCCTTGACTCTGAATGTTAAAGGGTTAGTTCACCCAAAAATGAAAATTCTGTCATTAATTACTCACCCTCCTGTTGTTCGAAACCCGTAAAACATTCGTTCATCTTCGGAACACAATTTAAGATATTTTTGATGAAATCTGAGGGCTCTCTGACCCTCCCATAGACAGCAAGGTAACTACCACGTTCAAGTTCCAGAAAAGTACCAAGAGGATCGTCAAAGTAGTCCGTGTGACATCAGTGGTTCAACTGTAAAGTTACGAAGCTACGAGAATACTTTTTTGCACAAAGAAAACAAAAGTAACGACTTTATTCCACATTTTCGTCTCTACTGTGTTACTTGTGGACACGCATTCACGATAGTATCATGACGCGAGCGTATGGTGGCGCTGACCCAGACCCGGATCTGGGTCAGTGTCGGCGCCACCACACGCTCGCGTCATGATACTATCGTGAACACGCATCCAAAGTGGGTCAGAGAGCCCTCAGATTTCATCAAAAATATCTTAAATTGTGTTCCGAAGATGAACGGATGTTTTACGGGTTTGGAACAACGTGAGGGTGAGTAATTAATGACAGAATTTTAATTTTTGGGTGAACTAACCCTTTAAAGCTATAACTCACACAAAAATAAAACTCTGGAATATAGTGTTCAATTTATGAACTCCTTTTATGGTGTTTTTTTTTTTTTTGGTCATGTACGTGTACCATGCTGATCAGCCAATAACTTGACCCCTTCTCAACATATAATGACAAAATTACTTTTGTAAGTAAAGTGTTCTTGAGTTTGAATACCAAGACCACTGCCTTTAGTGCTTCACTAAGAAATTCAGATTTTGTCAATATAAAACCCACCATCATCCAGTGTTGGCACTACCCTCTTTCTCTTGCTGTAACACAATGGCAGCTTGTGATTGCTCAGAACGGCGTCTGCGAGCCACTGATGGCTCCATCGCTTCATTTAAACAGGCTGCGGATAAGGGACAGCTGCTGTCTCTGCCTGGATGGACTTTACCTCCGTTTGAGCTTGGACACTTGGTCAAGTTCAGCTTGCCAACTCTTTAAACACAATTATCAAACCATCGGTCCAGATAGCCTCTCTTTGTGTCCATTTACGCTCCTTGGCTTTTAGCAGCTATGGACAGCTGAACGCAAGACTGCCATCTCCCAGAAGACTCCAAAAACACCACTGATGCCTGATGATTTCTGATGATTTTCTGATCACCACTGATGATTTCTTTTTTATTGATTAATTTTCTTTTCCTGTTTAACGACACAGTCTTTAGGGACCTTAATGGCCAATTAAAAAGTGCCTTAAACATGACAAAATTAACAGTTATGATTGATTGATTAATTGGTTGATTGATGGATTTATTTTATTTGTATTATTATTTATTTTTTTGTTACAAAAATGGTCAATTATTATTTCATACATTTCCCATCCCTACTCTCTCTGTTTGTGTGTTCATGTTTATGTACTTACCAATAGTTTTGGTGACAAAAATAACCCCAATGTGATCCTGCATTTACATTTAAAAATTTTTTTTAATGAAAATTGAAATAAAAAAATAAAAAAGGGAATAATTAATTGATTGATTGATTATTTATTTTTGGTTACACAAACTGTAAATTAATATTTCATATATTTCCCATCCATATTCACAGTGTGTGTTAATGTTTATGTACTTAGCAATAGTTTTGGTGACAAAATTGACCCCAAAGTGATCCTACATTTGCATTTAAATTTTTTTAAATTAAAATTAAAATTAAAAAAACAAAAAGAGACAGACAGACAGACAGACAGACAGATAGATAGATAGATAGATTCACAATTAGAGTTGTACAAATAGAGAAACAAATAGAAATTGTGTATTTATTTATCAGACTTGTGAGAATAAGAAACTGAATGCGAAATGATAAGAAGATGAGAACAGAAAATGAGAGTGAGAGAGTGAGAGAGATTTAATGTGGAAGATAAGAGCAGAAGCTGTGGATAAATGTCTCTGTTGAACTATATGAGGTACTTAAGGCAGGATGTAGTGGCTAAAAGGGGTTAGAGCGTATGTATCATTCACAGGTTAATGGCAGAAGTGATGAGTCATTCTGTGAAATGGGCTTTTGGCTCAGGACAGAAGAGATCTGACGTACACACATTTGAGGAGGACTGATGAGAGAGGCAGACAAGGAATCGCCCTCTCATTTAAAAACCCCTAATGTACTATCCATAAATCAAGACCGGTCGCACACGACTGTGCTTCAACAAGAAATAGCTTTAAAACCTCATGAAATCACTTGATAAGTATTTTCACTTGCAATATTTTCTATTGAAACAGGAAGCTTAGACAAGACGGTTTTTTCTTTCTTTATTTTCTTTTATTTATTTATTTATTTATTTTTAATAGCTAGGCTTTAGTTACATCATAACCATGGTTTTGTCTATTAATTTATTCAAAAGTTAAAAATGAAAAGAATAAATAAAGGACTTGAATACATAATTTCTACAATGAGCAAATTTCTCATTTTTGTATTAAGAATCATTTTGATATAAAATATGGTGAAACCAACATGCAAGGTCAATAATTCTCATAAAAATATCATCTAATTTGCTCTGATGACAAGGCTGATGACAATTTAAAAAAAAAATCTTGAAAATAATAATTCAAGGAGTATGTAAAATCTATATATTAAAAATATATAGATATGTTTTACATAAAAAAAAAATACATGTAAACATTATTCAATTATTCAATAATAATTATTGAAATAATTATTCAAAATGTAAGGAAAATGTGTTTTTTTTTTTTTTTACTTAAGGGTTACACCAAATAACATTTTTACATTCAATATACAATATTCTATTAATTATATAAATGAAATAAATTTATATTTAATATACATGTAAAAAATTTAACTTTTTACATTAAAAATATATTTAAAAACATTCTTAAAAATAACGATTCAAGGAAAATATGGTATTATTTTTTTCTTGAGGGTCAGGCTATATGCCATTTTTAGATTCAGTATATAAATTTATATTTATTCCATATATTAAACATGTTTAATAGATAAATTATATTTGGAAATAAAAAAAGATACACTTTTTACCTTGAAAAAAATATTAAAAAATATTCTTGTAAATAATGATTCAAGGAAAATATGTTATTAATTTTAAAATATGTTAGTAATGGATGGTTACACCACATTTTTAGACTCACTTTATACAATTTCCTACAACGCCGTTCTACAAATTGACGTCATGACAAAACATCTCTGTTGAGACAATGGGAAAGTCAGAGTCCCGAAGAGCAACAAAGAGAGAAAAGGACAGAAAGTATGAGCGGCAACAGCCATCTGCCCATCACGGTTGAAGTGAAACAGCCTTGTACTTTTAGGACAATTAATATTTCCAAAACTACATCAATCTTTCTGTGAGATTGATTTGAGGATAACTGGTGTGGATTGTGAATGTCACAGCAGGAAGTCTTGGAATGAAATCGATAGGAGGTCAGGTGACCCTGTCTGTACTCCCAGACAGACTGCTGATGCGACGCAGACTGCTTGGAGCTTCAAAGTAGATTCTGGTCCCACAGCACACGAGGGGTCCGGTCAAGTCACTCCGAAAGCTCACTTTCATCGATGACCAGATTGATTCCACAAGACAATTACATTTTTCTTCAGTGAGAGTAATCTTACCCTTTTAGGGCTGGGACACTACGAGAGCACAACATAAATACCAGACACTTTAAAAACTTTCTATGAGAACTTTTTTCTACTGGTCAACTGATATGG